GGGAAGTGGTCATGCCTGAAAAATTGATACAATGCTCTTGAAGAGCCCATCAAATGTGGCCACCATTGCTTAGCTCCAATATTGGGATTATTTCTGAAGAGATGGCATTTGGGTAGAAGCAAGTGCTTGCATTGAAAGAAAGAGCTTTTTTCCACAACTTTTCCCTTTAAATCACCATTTACAAAATAAGTTCAAAATGAGTCTGAGGAATAGAAATATTGAAATATTAATGTTAAGATAAAAGTGCCCTAGAAGACATTGCAAAAGTTCCTCTTTGTTGAGGGAAAGTCAAGTCCATTGTCCAGTGTTGGAATCCTTTGCATTTCATTAGCACTGGTCTGCAGGCAGTGAACAGACAATGAGAGCTTTCAGACTGAGATGCTAAGAATAAACATACATATAAAACAAGAGGAGGTATATGGGGAAAAAAATAAAAAAGTTGCTGGGAAAGCACAGTAGAAGAAAGCAAATTCTGAGTTGAAATTTTCAGTGTAGCTCTATTATGCTCAGCCTGAAGAATTTATTTATATCCCACCTTTTATTATTTTTACAAATAACCCAAGGTAGCCAACCCATCCAACACACCTTCCTATTTTCCCCACAATAACAACTCTGTGGGATGAGTTGGGCAGAGAGAAACTGCCTCAAGGTTGCTCAGCTGGCTAAGGCAGGACTTGAACTCACAATTTCTTGCTTTCTAGCCTAGTGCCTTATCCACTAGACCAAGCTGGCTCCCAGTGTATCAGTGATTTCCCTCCCCTGCCCTTACTAGAAATTGCAAAACAATGTTAATTAATGAAAAAGTCTATATCATGCAGTTAAGGGTTTTAAAAGCATTGAACTTCCTATAACAGATTGATCAGTGACTATATTGTTGGGATAGTGGCCATAGAGTGGCAACCTATCTGAAGGACACTTGTTGTTGAGGAATAATAAGGGAAGTCTTGTTTTCCTCCTGGATTTGGGGATTTCCAGGAAACATGAACTGGGCTATTCTGGAAAAATGGAAGCTGGTCTTGATGTATTCTTTGGTCTGACCAAGTGAGAAGTTTATTATTTTTTCCCTGTGTTTAAGATTTCAGGAAAACAGAAGCAAGAAACAGTTTATTTAAAATGCTTGCTTTCACAATGCTTACCCACTTTGCACATAAAGGCTTATTTCAAACGCCTGGATGATGATGATGCCCAGCATATTTTTGACATCTTAAGAATTAGTGGAACAGCAGCTATTCAGCATGATAAAAAGGACCTTCGGCCCCTCCCCTCCTTCCTATTGTTCTCATGTTTGGTGAACCATACGAATCTCATATGTAGAGCTCCTAAGAAAATTCCTTATTAGTATAGTCAGAATGTTATTAGTGCTGTTTGGAAAGCACATATATGGTGCTTAATTAAAAAAAAAGTCCATTGATGCTAATTGAAAGAGGGCCATTAACTTCAATTGCCCTTGGATCACACTCATATATACTTAGCTGGCAGAATAACATTTAATATGCTGTATAATAGAACAAATCAAATCAAATATTTAATGGTGGAGGGCCTTGAGGTTTTTTTTAAGGACAATATCATTTAAGGCTTCAAAAACTAGGGCCAAAGATCACTGTCAAGTGTGGAATTAACAGGCAGTACTCTACTAAACTAATTAAAAAAAATAAAAGATTGCAGCAGAGTAACAGCTGCCTCTCAGGGTAATAGGAAACCTGTCTTTATAAATATGCTTGTTTTTCATTACAGAACAGGCAGCCCTATAATCAGGAGCAGCAGTGGGTCAGATATAGGCTTGGCACAATACAAATACAATTTTATCAAGCAGCCAGGGGAGGTTTTCATCATTTTTCAAAATTCAGTGGCTTGTAGTATAAAACTAGAAGTAAAATCTTGCCAAGGTAAGAGCTCAGATTTAAAGAGAAGGGACCCATTGGCTTCCATGGGGATTCAAAATTCCATACAACTCAGAACATCTTTATTTTGGCAGATCAGCGAATGGCTTCCTAAAATGATGTTTTGTTGGCCCATCCAGAAGAATACCTCTCATTTCACAGAAAGCTTTACAGCAGCCCCCACATATGGAAAGCCACTGCCTCCTATACAGGTAGTCCTTGATTTACGGTCATAATTGAGCCCCAAATTTCTGTTGCTAAGTGAGACATTTGTTAAGTGATTTTTGATCCATTTTACAACCTTTCTTGCCACAGTTGTTAAGTGAATCAAGGTCAGGAGGTCACAGACGTTGTCACATGGCACTGCAACCATCATAAATATGAGTCAATTGCCAAGCACCTGAATTTTGATCAAGGGATCATGGGGATGCTGCAACAGTTGTGTGAAAAATGATCATAAGTCACTTTTCCAGTGCCGTTGTAATTTTGGTCACTAAACGAACTGTTGTAAGTCAAGGTCTACCTGTAGTTTGGTGTTTACTCAACAAAGCAGAAAGCTCTCCAGGGAAGCAAAGAAGCGACCAGCAGGTATTTACCTTGTTCCATGTTGCTTTGCAACTGGACCTGCAAAAGATTAAGCCAATGACATTCATTGAACAAAATCAATGATAAGTGATAAGTGAAACTGAATGAGTGTTCAGTTTCATTGGGGACAAGAGTATTTGCAGGATCATGGAAGATTTTCTTCAGATATGCAATGTCTTTTGAGGTTAGAATGTTCTGTCCTTGGAACAACTGTGCTGAATTCAAAATAGACTATTCTAAGTGTACCAGACATGGTTTGATCTTGATAATTTTGTTCCCAAGCATAATTTAGGAAGGGGAACTGTGTCCATCACAATGATTGCCATCTGAGTACACATAAAGATTTTCAATTAACCATGTTAATAAAACTAGTGTTAGCTGCTTTGTCACTGTTTGTTGTATATTTTTCAGAAATAATGTTGTAAAAAGGGATGCTGCAAGAGGATTACAGAAGCAGGACAAAGAAACACTCCTAAGCATTATAAATTTCTAGAAGAAACAATCCCAACTTGGGAATCTTGGGAATTCTTCATAGAAATTATGAGTGCATTAAAAAACATCCTGCAATCTTATCTGCTGAGTAACAGAATAGTTGTATATTCTAGAAACACTCTTATCAGTTAAGGAAGGAAGAACGGAATTTGTTTCTCCGGATCAGGAACTCTAAATACTATTTTGCATACCAAGCTTCAAAGTTGATTCTTCCCCTCAAGATTTTCAGTCTTTAATACAGATACACCTTTGCATAGGAATTCTAGGCAATAGTTGCAAAGGCTTTAAAACCAAAATTCTATTTTTACAGGAGGAAAATTTACTCCAAAAAACGCACAACTTCCTTGGGAAATGGAATTCATCAGATTAATCAAACATTCTAAAATTCCTGGTTGGGGGTAGGGGAGAATTTGATCTGAAAAAAATGTAAATGTAAATTGAAAGTAGGTGTAATTGGAAATTTTCTGAGTGATTGAAAAGTTCAAGAGGATAATAAGCAACAAAGATTTTTTTTTTAAAGGCAAACTGGAGGGAAAAATGGGAAGGAGTTGTATACAGGCCAGTCATCATCCAGTAGGATAGAGTGTTCTTTACTAAATTGTGAGTGTGGCAGATGTGCAATTGTACAGAGATTGTGTGCATGTATACCTCTTTGTATGTATACCATTATGTAGGTATGTTGTGCAGCTTTCAATCTTGCATTGCCTGGAAATGTGATGTGGATTTCATATTAACATCACTAGTTTGTCTTTAGGGTAGCTTGTGACTACTGAAGTTTATCATTGCTACATAGCAGAGAACATCTGCAAGACATTCTCAAGAATTCCAAACTGCCCACTGTCCCTCCCACTCACAAAAAACTCTGATTATATCTGTTCTGTGGAGCTTTTCCTCAAAGTGGTAACCAGGAGTTGCAGATACCTTCAGGCCTAGTTCCAACCTGCATCATTTGCTCAGACAAATTAGAGATTCTCTATGGAGCTAATTTTCTTTTGGAGGGATTTCATCAACAACAGGAATATGGTGGGGGAGGGTCTCTAAAGAGCCAATCTTCCAAATTTCTCCCCATGGATGATTTTCTTCAAATGACATTGTGAATATTAGCTACTAGTGGTTGTTAGGTCCTGAGCATCTCATCTTGAAGGCCAACCCTTTTCAAGACACATTGGCAGAATACATTTCACCTTGCCTCCCAGTTCCATTGGAAAGAAACTCTGTTCACACTGCTAAATAAATATATAATGTACCCTTATAAATAAATATCAGAGGATAGAGGAGAATTTTCCTATAATATCTAAAAAAAATCTTCTTCCTAGGATTAATATTAGTGTACAATAATTATGAAATGCTTTACTGTGCTATACAGATCAACATGGGCTGTTTTCAAGGCAGATACATTGCTGAATATCTCCCTGAATTTTTAAAAGCTTCTTGCAATGAAGCTTAGAAGCTCTACCATTGATGAAGGCATTGAGGTATCTGGTAAGGAAATAATCTCTGAAATGAAGACTTAATAGGTCACAGGTTGTCTAGTTTATAAATAAACATAGAGGATGAGGAACGTTTTCCTACAAAATTGTATTTTCCATTTAGGATTATTGGTGTACAGCAATTATGAAATGAAGATATTTTGCAATTTTTGTATGTTTATGCAAGATAATATAACATTTTAAAAAAATTTGTAATCAATTTTTTTCATTTGCTTCTTGTAATTTTTTAAAAAGGGAATCACATTGGGCCTCTTGACTCCATGAAACTATATCAGAGCTCATATGAAATAGTAAACTGGAGTTTAAATAGTGGGACAGCACTAATGATATAAAAACAAATTTGTATTACTGTCCCTTATAGTTAAATGTACAAATGAATCCTTATTCAAAAGTAAAATAAATGTTGGCTTGAATTAAAAGCCATCATCAGAAAAAGCCTTTTGTTACAGAGGCTTTTGTCATCTTCCATTATGACACCTTCCATTGTGACACCTTCCATTGTGACATCACAACTTTCAGCAGTTTAAATTCTCAGCAACTCAGCTCCTAGGTCACATTAGTGGGATTACTCAGGAGAGAAGGCACCACTTTCCTAGTTTCTTGCTTTAAGTTGAAAGAAAGAAAACAGGATAATAATGTAAGTAAGATCAATTTTCCAACATGCTCCTAGAAAGCTCTCTGCCAACCCAAGTTCAAGAAGGGTATTTTTAATACTTTCTCATTTTTTTCCTCCCCACTTGTGGTTCTGGAAAGAGTTTTACTGGTCAACTGCAATGAAAAGACATTCATAATTTAAATTGAGCAGTTTGACTGAGGGATCATAGTTTGGCCTTCCTTCCTTCCTTCCTTCCTTCCTTCCTTCCTTCCTTCCTTCCTTCCTTCCTTCCTTCCTTCCTTCCTCCCTCCCTCCCTTCCCTCCCTCCCTTCCTTTTCCATCATATTCTTGTACAATACAAGCTTACATTGTAGGAGGGCACCTATGATTTTAAAAAGAAATCTGCACTGTTGTAACTAAATGTGCATACTTATCAATCTGAAATAAGAGGCTATAACTTGGATTAAAAGCCTCTTAAAAGCCACAGTTATTAGCTGGGAGGCCAAAAGGACCATTGTGACATCATGCTCTTCCACTGTGACATCACGACCTCAGCAGCTTAGTCTCTCAGCAACTAAGGTCATATCTTACAATGGGAGCAGTCCTCAGGAGAGAAGATAGAACTTTCCTAGGGTGTGTGTGTGTGTGTGTGTGTGTGTGTTCCTGAGTTGAAAAGTAGGAAAGGGATAATAATGTCAGTAAGAATCCATAGCACTCTTCATTCTCTAAGACGGTCCGAGAAGGCTCTCTGTCAACCCACCCCAGAAATGGGTACCTTTTATACCCTCTTAAATTTTCCTCCCAGTTCTGGGAATAGCTGGGATTGAAAGAAGGCTCATAATTTAAACTGAGAAGAAAGATGATGGAAATTACTGTGCTCTCTTTTGCTACTCTCTGCAATGAAAAGACCCTATTGCACACATTAGCCTAGTCATCCTGAATATCTCTGCTGTCGCATCATAACCATGCATCCAGTGTGCCAAAAATGTAGATCACCTGAATTAGTTCTCCAGACTTGCCCATTTCCTGGCAGTCTTTGGGGAGAATTTGTTCTTCATCAAGATTCTTCACTTTATTCAAGAATAATTTATCCACAGTCAGGAAAGGGGAAACATAATAGAAGATTTCCCACAAGAAGCTCTTTTGCCGCCCTTATGGTTGCTATCTTCTACCTGTTCCTGCACAAGGGAAATCTCTGCAAATAATTTCTCTCATCTTTTTCTCTCTGTTGTAGGCTATCCAAAATAATACAATTCTTTCTTAGAAAGAATAACAAAGTTGTCCCAGAAGGGCTGCTGAAGAAAAGGCCCTGCATTCTCCTCATCCTCCAGAAGAGCAACAGAATCCGACCTACGCAGACTCTTGGAAAATCCTCCAAGAAGTACATTCTGGGTTTTGCCTGAAGGCTGCGATGCTTCTGATTTCAGTACAGAGAAAGTCCAAGAGGGGCAGGATCTCCTCCAAACTGAGACATCATTGCTATTGGAAATGGGACATCATTGTTGTGGCATCATCACTATTGTAAATAGAAGCCTAGAAGGTAATAGGATGCAGGGGAGACCATGACTAAGGTTGGAATTGGGGGCGGGGGGGAGGTGTTAGGAAGGAATGGAAATATCTAATATAGTCTTCAGGAGAAAGGAAGCTTTTGTCTCCTGAATAAGTATTTCAACCATCTGAGCATGTCTCACTTTTCTTTTTTGAAGCAAACTCTATATATGGCTGGATGGCCACTAATTTGGGAAAGAACCCAGAAACCTCCAAGTTAATGTACTCTTCCCGGTAAGTGGAATTGGAGGTCTGCAGAAGGTTATGATTTCAGAGGTGCCACAGTGCCCGATTGGGTAACTTGTAATGTTTCAGAGAGCTGAGCCTAAGCATTATAAAGAGCAACATTAGAATGGCTGCCCCATAGATTTGGAGGTTGTTAGACTTTAAGGGATAAAGGCACTTTAGCATTTAGGACCCCCACCAACAAGTGTCCTTTTCTAGACAGCTACTAAGCACAGGATCTTATTTGCAGGCATTTGGAACATAAGGACAAGATAAACACTCAGAAATCTCAGCAAAGAGATTTTCTTTGGAGTTTTTCATGAACTGTAAAATCAATTGCATAAATTGCTGTTTCCCATTGAAATCCAGCATTCTTGTCTCACAAAAAGCCCCTCCATGTGAGAGATTGTTATCTTTGGTTTCACTCTTCTCATTCTATTCCCTGAGGAAAGGATAGGTGAGGCAGAGCAAGAGGGCCTCTTCTAACTCTCTGACATCTTTTCAGGGCAAACAGGACGAAGAGGAGCAAGTTTGATTCCTCATCATCATATTTCATCTTTCTTTGGCCACATATAAAATGAGAAGGCACTTCAGCTGCCATTTTCTAAAGTCCATCTAGCAGAAGTTATTGTGAGTGAGCTAAAGCACCCCAAACCCAGTGGCAACTAATTATTGGACATGAAACCCAAGGAATTACCTCTGGGAAAATATTCCTTCAAAATTTGAGGGAAGTGGACTATGTAGCCAAAACATAACATTCACATAATGTTCTCCTTGGTAGTATATCTCTTATTTAAGGATATCTGTGGAGAGACAGCTGCTGAAAGAAACACATGATGAGGCTCATGTGTTTGCCTCATAAAATGATGAGGCTCGAAGAAAAGTTAGAAATGTCACAGCACATGAATAATTAAGTCACATCTTTGTTTTGCTTCTTGATGCCTTCTAGCAGGTGACAGAAATGTTTCACCCACATTAAATGTCTGCTTCAGTACTGTCCTGCTCAATGATGACCATTGAATGTAACTTATTTGGAATTTGTGCAAGAATGTTTACAGTATTTCCAATATTCAGGAATAAGAGATGAGCAAGGAGAAAGGATAAATACAGGCAGATGTATTTATAAAACTCAAATCCCAAAGCAAAAATAAAATGTTGGACAATAATCAATGCCACAACACAAAAATAATATGTAACTCAAAAGACACATAACAGTATAAAAGAGCTGATTGCTCCACTGGGCTGAGAAGTTAATTGAACAAAACATTGGAAGATATTCCTGAAAGAGAAGACATCAAGAACCTCCAAGAAGTTTTAAGCTGCTATCTCGGAATATGTGACTCAAGAATACAGAGGTCTTTCCTTCCTCAGTTGTGATTCCTACTTTCTGGTCTTCAGAGACTTTGATTCTGAATTTAATGGAGCCTCCGTTTAAAAGTTCACACCTCAGTGATACTAGGATGGGCACCTCGAGTATTTGGTTATTGACTCAGGATGGATAACCGATCCTGCCCGCATTACACAGACTAATATTTTATCCCCCAGTATCCCAGTAACATCCATTCTCCTCTTCCTAAACACCTTGAATCCCATATATTCCACTTGACTCTCCACCTTGTTCTAAACATTGACCCTGAGGACTGCAGTATTTCCAATCAGGTAAGTCTTACTTAGCTTATTTGTCATCTGGCAGCTATTCCTTGAGAGCCTGCAGCATTGGTTTCCTTCTGTTCCTTAGAATTTGAATTTTACCTTCAAGTCTGTAACTCACAGCAATCCCTTTTAGTTTACATCTCTGGGACTGAATAACTTCCATAATTTGGGGTCATAAATCCTTGATTGAGGGTGTGGAGGGGTACAATTGCTGGTCAGACCCAAACAGCAAAATGATATGGAATGATTTTGATTCTCTCCTTTCTCTTGGCTAGGAGGATCCCCTCATCCTTTGCAGAAAAATGCTTACGTACAACCCTTCGCTTATTGAGTACAATGATATGATGACCTGATTTGTATCAGTGATTCAACTGGACCTCATGCAGATCAGCCAGATCCTTCTAGATCTTGAGAACAACCTACTATCCAATCTAATTTGAGGGGAATATTATGATAGATACAATTTTCCAAAAGAGCAAAGCTCCTTTGGTGACAACCTATCTCCATGCAAGTATCCCTTAACAGCCCCCCAAAGGTCCAATGGTACCATAGACTCTTTTAAGTTCCTGCTGCTACTTTCTGTTACAACATATAGAAGAATGGATCACGGACATAACTTCTACAGTGACCAACAAATCCATCAGTCTCCGTTCTTCCTTGCTCCACCTTGTCCTAAATATACCACAACTATGTGTATACCTCATATATGTTCCAGGTTGGCATCAAAAGGCTATTGAGTTCTGATCTGAGAGAACAGGAAGTCAAGAAATGTGGATCTAAATTGCAATTATTTCTTCCTTTGAATTAAGTTAAGAACTGAATCTGAGAGCTAAACATCTTGTTTAGGACTTTTCCTCCCTGTATTTGTTTCATACAGAATATTGCACCTCCCCATTATTATAACCATATAACTTTTATGTTTATTTGTTTTTAAAATAATAACAAAAAATAATAAAATAGAGATATTATTATACTTCATATAAAGTTCAGCGTGGGCTTCTTTCAAGGCAGATACATCTCTAAATATCTCCATGAATTTTAAAGAATATTGTCAGACCTGGAAGCCATCTTTTACAATTGGGCCTTCAGGCCTGCCACATTTTCTAATGTGGGAAATTGGGAGGGGAGATTGTATAGAGCCGTGATGGCGAACCTATGGCACATGTGCCACAGGTGGCATGTGGATCCATATCTGTGGGCACATGAGCATTTCCCTAGCTCAGCTTCAGCGCGCATGTACATGCCAGCCAGTGATTTTTGGGCCTTCTGGGCCCACCGGAAGTCAGGAAATGGGCTGTTTCTGGCCTCCGGAGGGCCTTTGGTGGGTGGGGAAGGCCATTTTTGCCATCCCCAGGCTCCTAGAAAGCCCCTGGAGCCTGGGGAGAGCAAAAAATAGGCCTACCGGGCCCACCGGGCCAAAAGCAGGGGGAGTGCGCGGGGGGGGCGGGATGCATTGAATTATGGATGTGGGCACGCATGCACATGACCCCTCCCATGTTCCCCCTGCTTTTGGCATGCAACAGCAAAAAGGTTAGCCATCACTGGTGTATAGTATGGGTGATACACAGTATAGTCAAAATAACATTCTTTTCTCAGAGAGTCAAGGCCACAGTGCCCTGCAGCTGCCATGAGGGGACTGGGAGGTATCTTCAGTTTTGGATGGTGCCTGATTGGATCATGTGACAGACATGTGGGCACTGGGCAGCAACTTGAACTTTCTTTTGGGTGGGGAAAACCTGGAAGCTTTCAGATTCGGGTTTTTCCAGATGTGCCAATAGGAAATCTTCAGTAAAATGGAACTTTGAGGAAACTCAGACCTCGGAGTCTTCTTTCATTGGGGATGTTACTTGGAACCCTGACAAATATTTTCAGAACACTAGACGCTCTGCCATTGTTGAAGTCATTGAAGATTCTTGTAAGGAAATGTCTCTGAAAGGACAACTCAATTTAACTTTCCCAAACCTCCAATTCTGTTTTGGGGATGCAAGAGAATATATGAAAGTGCTTATATGAAAGTATAAGCAATGATTCTCCTTCCATTCACTTTTCCTAGAGAAAATCAAATTGTTGGTTCAGTCTTCACATACTGAGATACAAGAATGTTCATTTTAATTTGCATAACTCTATAGTGAGAAGTTGTATCCCTACCCATTTTTAGGTTTCTTTAAGTTAAAAGTTAAAGTTTTAACTTTACTGTGAAACAAATCTTCTCCAACTGATTTTGACACCTCCTGAGACCATTAGCTTACTTTCTTCTACTCCGTGAGTAAAAAAGGAAGGAGAAAAGAGTGAGTAATTTTAAAATGTGTTTTCCCTGGCCGTGAAATTGCCAATCCTTCCATGGGGCAAACTTGGCACTTTTTGATGAGGCCTCTGGAAGTGTCAAAGCAGCTGCTTTTCAAAATTTAACACTAATACTTAGCCAGCGGAAAGTGGCATAGAAACTGTGAGGATAGTAGGAGTCACACTGTCATAAGGAAACATATAATCGAATTTCTGTCTCTTTTCCTCCTCCAGAAGATGGAAGTGCTGGAGGATCTAAAGTATTTGGAGATGTCCTAGAAAGTGTAGGATTTGTAGAAATTTGCCTAGTTCTTACTTATAGCTATGATGTTTCTCTAGCTTGAGGATTTAGAAGATGTGTTGCAGGTGAAATCATGGATGCCAGATGACCCTAAGTAGAGGGGTCCATATCAATACTGTTAACAATCTATACTTTACTGACGCTAGAAGGGATCATACCTGAGCCAAAAGAGCTGAACCACCTTTGGAAGATAACATCATAGATTTGTATGGCCCAGATAGACAGTAAAGGCAGCCCATAGAACAACTTAAAGCTTCTCTTAAAAAACATAAGAAATACCTGACTTGTTCATTCTGAGTGGAGTTTCTGAAAGCAGTTTTTTATTTCCTTGGAAATTTATGCCTATATTTTGTTACTCATGACAACCCTTTTGCCAGCAATGTCAAATTTGTTTGTTCATTGAATCCTTTTGCACCTATCCCAGGTTTAAAACCATTTCTTATTTCTACCATAGGAAATGTAAGAGTTCCTCCCACAAAGTGCTAGTGGCTAGTGCCACAGATGATGAAGGTATTTCATACTCCACAAAGATAGGACAAAAGTTGAACTTTTATAACCACCCTAGATTCAAGCAAATTCCCCTAAAAACCTTATATAAAACCATCAATACAGGATGCATATCATGTGGCTTTAAAGAAGACTGAATAGAAATTCTTCCATCACAACCATCAACTTAGTTGGAAGGATAATCTTATCATGAACATGTCTTCAAACATCACTATCAATTTGCAGTTGAAGTTGGGTGTGTGTACCCATATACCAGTTCACCTAATGGAGAGAATTCCCTCATTTGAGGCTCCCTTAACATTTAATTACATCACTCTCCTGGCAGCATATAACTCTTCCATTACTGAGGAGAGAAATGCACAGATAAACATGTGGGTGTTCATCAAATTATTTGGCAGGGAAAACATGTACTGTATTTCTAAACAGTCCCCTCAGACTGAGGCAATTTTTGTGGGAAACATAACCAACTATATCTGGACTTTTGAGATTTTTGCTGAACTGGAACCTAGACAAACCCCAAAGCCAGGATGGTTTTGGATGTGTGAAACTGTTAGGTACCTCCTACGTGGTATGGCTTATGCACTTTGGGAGTTCTGGTTCTGGCTGTAAGCTTACAACCACCTTCTCATCTTTTGCTTAAGCTAAATTGACCTCTTTGCATTAGATATTCCATAATAACACTCTTGTGGAATGGCTGTTTCTACTGCACTTCCTGTTCCATTGCTATCTGCCAGATTTTGGGTTGCTGATTTAGAATTTGCCCTTGACAGATGCCATAAGGAGACTGTAAGCCAAGGTAACTACTATGTCTCAAATTGCTATTCAGAATTGCATGGCCCTGGATTTTTAGTCAACAAAAGGGGGTTTCTGATCTCATCAATTCTAGTTGCTGCACCTATGTTGACCAACACAGATTTTCAGAGATGTACAAGCCATCTTGAACCAATCAGCTATTTTTCATACTGTAACACATATTGATTGCTCTTCTCCTTTTTCCTTCCTTTGGAATTCTATTACTTCATGGTTACCCAACTTAGGATGGCTCAGATCCCTTTTTAATATTATAGTTGCTATTATTATGATAAGGATTTCTGTTTGTTGTTGTATGTCTTGTTTACCCACTGTGCACCTCCATGAAAATGAATCTAGTCACAAGGTGACAACCAAACATCAAGGCCATGATGTTGAATTCTTACACAGGAAACAAAGATAGAAGTTATCAGATGTATTTACAAAGATCAAGGAACAATGCTAAAGAACTTTAAAAGATTATTTAAACACTGAAGGGAGAAATGTAGGAAATTAATTTACTATGATACTTCTCCAAATTGAGGGTCTTGTGATTTAATAGCTTATTAAGCAATTAAAGACTTTTATAAACTATGAATCATTAGCTTATTTGTGCCTTTGCCTGCTAAAAGTTTTTAACAGTCTTTAACATCTTTTGGAAAGAGCTATAGAGGTTGACCATAAGCACTCCATAAGTTGATCATAAATGTCTCCTATATAGACTAGCTAACAGATTGTGGCTTGGACATTTAGCTAGGATATATTGCAAGCTGACCTATTACTGGAATCTAATGAATGTGATGTGATATTTAGCTTAAGTAGTGATCAGAAGCATCTGAACAGGAGACCACAGGTAAGTAAAGGCCAAAAAAAGGGTCATGTTAAAAAAAGAAAGTCACGTCACCTACTAGTAAGCTAGCATTCAAGATTTTGGCAATCTTTGACAAAACAAACAATTGCCAGAAATAAAGTTGAATTTAGAAGAGGTAGGGGCAAACAAGACAGACATGGATAGTTCAAAATAGGCAACAAAAACTATAATTGGAAAATAAATGACCATAGAGCAATTCAGGAAAGAAAACAATCATACAAAAGAGGGCTCAATAACTAGTTGAACAAAGAATTAGAATGTTTTGTTTAGAAGATGGCAAGCTAGTATTGAATCGCTAGCTAGAAATATTTTATTTAATTTATATCTCACCTTTATTATTTTTATAAGTAACTCAAAGTGACAAATATACATAACACTTTTTTCTCATCTCTTTTCTCCTCAGCAACAACTCTATAGGTGGATTGGGCTGAGAGAGAGTGATCCATCCAGCCACCTTTCACACTTAAGGCGGAACTACAATTTATGGTCTCCCAGTTTCTACCTGGTGCCTTAACCACTATTAGAGATACACTTATCACATTAATGAAAATGTGGCCCCAAATCTCCCAAATTAATCCTTCTTCCTCAGAGGTAATTTATCCACTTTTGATTTAAGGTCTTCAGAGAAATAGGATGGGGTTGATGGAGCTCTTTATTAACTCCAGATCTCAGTGATACTTGGAATGGACATATCAATTTCTTGGTTATATGGTCAGCTTGGGTGATTGCCCCTGCCTGAAGTGCACAATCTTCTATCCTCTTTTCTACCCTCCCAGTAAAACCAGCCTATCCTTTATTCAACCAAATAAATTTTATTTATTTTTTAGTGTATGGCATTCATAGAGATCATGCAATCACTGATATACAACAGTAATAAACATATTATACATACAATCACAAATAAATCTTACTGAACTTGTCAATATACAATAGACAAATATATATTGAGAATCTGTAGTTCTATATTCTTTCACATATTTCAGTCTCTAGTATGCATTCTGATTTCACAGTTCAGTCTCTAATCTCCAAACAATGCTGAACTGCATTTTCTAAAAATGCTAAAGTAATTTATTTTCTTTCAAGAATCTATATTATAAGATCTACAAATCTCAGCAAAAAATTGATGTCAATTTTTTTCTTTTTGTTGATATGTGTTTCTTTTTGTTGATTTGTGTACAATTAAACAATTATTTATACAGAACTAAATTTAGTAAGTGAGAAATATTGAGAATA